AAAAAAAGGCATAAGAATATAGCAGGAGGCAGGTATTGTTTATTATGTATGGAGGAAAAATTAGCAATGGCCATCTCCAATGAACCCAATAATTTATTAAATCAAAGATCTGAGGCATAGGAAATCTTGGTTATCGGAATAGAAGCTCTCTCTTTTTTTCCTATCTTCTGTCACGTGGTTTTATGCTAATTAGTTTTTAGTGGTTTTATCAATAAATATTGTTTCATGTCATTTTCTCTTTAACCAGATTACCCTGAAGTTCCGTTTAGGTGAAACCTAGGTAGGTTGTTCCTGGATCTATAAGATTTATTGCTTTTTTATATATATATATATATATATATATATATATATATATATATATATATATATAAACATAACAGTAAAAAAGCAACTGTGTGCTGGAAAACTCTAAAAATGTTATATACAGTAATATAACTGTAACTTACGCCAATGGTGTCAACAAGTTGTTCCTGGCTCTTTAGGATTTATATATATATATATATATATATATATATATATATATATATATATATGAAAATTTTCTCCGATTTAACCAGTAGAAGACAATATTTATGAATATAGAAACTATGAATAAGAAAACTAGTAATTGCTGACGCGTTTCGTCCAATGTGGACTTTATCAAAGCAAAATACGAAATGAATTTAACTGAACAAGGTAACTACAAAAAAACAGAATATTCCTAGCAACTGGAATGTAGAGAAACGCTATTTTCATATTGTTAACAGAAAATAATATCAGTATATGTCACGTGTGAAGAATATTGTCATTATATCTGTGTTGATGTATTCAACCATTTTCTTTTGATTTTATGAATCTGTTGTGTACATTTGTTTGTGAGAGCAGTAATCTACACCCAGGTTTTTTTCCCCATTTCACCTTTCTTAACAAAATTACTGCTCATCGTTCATTTCATATCCAGTGTCCCTTAAAAGGGCTCTGGTAAAATAAATTATTATAATGGAACCATAAAGTGGTATGTTTTTTTTTTAAAAATATATATATATATATATATATATATATATATATATATATATATATATATTTGAATTTTATATCAATCCTTCATGAGCTTCCGATGCTTAGCTACGATTAATTAATGGTGAACATGCTATTTTTGTTTATGATCGATTTCATCACGATTCTTCTGTTAAACTTAGAGAGTAATTATACATTCTTATCACTCAAAGCAGAATCCAATAAGGCTAGAAAAAAAACCTCGGTGAATTCCAGTAAGATATATTGAATCATTTCTAAGATACAACGGTTCAGAGTTTAATCTAGCAATTGAAAAATTTTGTTGTTTCACGATTTAAACAATTCCAACCGGTACACACACACACACACACACACACACATATATATATATATAATTTATATATACATAATTTATATATATATAATTTATATATATAATTTATATATATATATATATTTATAAATGTATATATAATTTATATATATATATACAATTTATATATATATATAATTTATATATATTATATAATTTATATATATATATATATTATATAATATATATATATATAGTCTATATATATAGTCTATATATATATATATAGATAGATAATATTAGTGGTAAATATACACATACATATGCAAAATATATAATATATATATACATACACACATACATATATATTTGTATTAAAAAATATTCAAGAGGATAGAATCCAGGTAGAACTCAATTAAGCCCTTTTATTTATCTATCTATCTATCTATCTATCTATCTATATATATATATATATATATATATATATATATATATATATATAATAGTAATTATATCGTTCTTCCTTACTGCGCGATAGTACTAAATTTCATATGATATATATGTAAACGTATTTGTGTGTGTTAAATAAATGATATAGTCGTTGTTTATAGCACACTACAACACAAAGTTTTATGCCAGTGGCAACCATCAGGTATAAAGTTGAAACTGTCTTTCCTAACACTCTTTTATTTAATGGCCCCAGGAAAGATAATGGAATTACACATTTTCATATGAAAAAGCGGAAAAAGCAAAAAAAAAAAACAAAAAAAAAAAAAAGAAATAAGTAAATAAATAAATAATGCTTGAAACGTGGCTGCAGTTAATATCAGCATCCCTGTTCCATATTTTTCATTGGCAAAGGTACTTTCTTTTATGCTTACTAATAAATGTAGATTCACTTCTTTTAGTTAATATATTAGGATTGCCTATATATTGCAGTAAAATCAAGTATTTTTCAAAAATATAAAAATTTCATATTTTTAGTTAACCCCGTTAATTTTTTATTTTCTCAGTCTGTCTGTCTGCCGTCTGTCTGTATGTCTGTCTCTGTATATATATATATATATATATATATATATATATATATATATATATATATATATATATTATTGTGTGCGTATTTAGGCGGCATTTTACATAAAATAAATAGACAACACATGTCTATATTATTTAATGAAACATCTATGAATATATATATATATATATATATATATAATTATTTATTTTAAAAAATTATAACATAAAAATTTATAACATTTTCATGTTATTATTTTTTAAATAAATAATTATATCTGCTCTACTCTGTATTGGACACTCTTTTAAGAATAGTAATTGTTGGTTATTGGAATTCATTCCGTATACACCAATCATATACTTAGTATATATATATTAAATATATATATATATATATATATATATATATATATATATATATAATTAACTTTTGATATAACACTAGATTTAATTAATATCATATACCTACCTTACAACAAGCCCAATACTAATCCTTTGTATATACACCCTTTCTAATAATCCTCCATCTATAATTAGCGTATACTTTCATCTACTGAAAAAGTATATATATATATATATATATATATATATATATATATATATATATATATGTATGTGTGTGTGTGTGTGTTTTAACACGAAGAAAACAGTACCGTTCATTCAATTATTTTCTGGATTTGAAAATGATTTACTGGAAATAATAAGTAACATAAATTTCCATGAAAACAAAAGCTATTTCCAAAAACGTCTGGCCAAGAAAATGAAAGATATTAATGCAACAGATAAAATTGTAATGAAATCGGATAAAACGGGAAGTTTGTATACATTAAATACAATGGACTGCAACAACCTAATTAAAAAAAATGATTTAAGTAAGAACTATACTAAGGCATGTAATAATTACGTAAATATGGTGGAAAACATTAATATTAGTAGTAAAAAATCACAGATAAATTCAATATCAGTGATAGGGTCGGTAAAGTTACCAAAAAGTGTGCTACATAAACATCAAGGATCACTAACCCGATTTCGGTGCTAATCCGACTACAAGAATTATCAACCCAACATGACATAAAATCGACAGAATTAGCAAGAAATCCTAGAAATAATCAACCACAAATAAAGGAATACCTAAGATTAAAGCTTTGGATCAATACCAAAGAAGTTACTAATTGGTTTACTAATATCACGGAGAAATCAAATTGTACACTAATACAGTTTGATATTAAGAATTACTACCAATCGATATCAAAAGAACAATTCACGAATGCTATGGGTTTTGCTACCCAATACTCAAACATAAGAGATGTAGAGAAAAACATAATTATCGGTACTCATTCATAATGAGCAATGGATTAAAAACTCTAATGACCACTTCAACATCACAATGGGATCATTGGACTCTGCAGAGTCTGCTGACCTTACAGGTCTTTTTATATTATATACCTCAATCATGAAATTAGTACGATTATAGGATTGTACAGAGATGATAGCCTTATGTTTGTAAGGCATTCTATAAACTTTAAAATGGATAAAATTAGAAAACTATTACATAGAGAATTTAAATGCCTAAACTGTAAAATTACTCTAAATAATAAAATGAAAAAAAAAAGTTAACTTCCTTGATATAACACTAGATTTAATTAATACCATATACCTACCTTACAACAAGCCCAATACTAATCCTTTGTATATACACCCTAAGTCTAATAATCCTTCATCTATCATTTAGCATATACCTTCATCTATTGAAAAAAAGAATAAGTATAAATTCACCAAATGAGAAAATATTCTATGAGAATACTAATATTTATAATAGAGCTTTAAAGAATAGTGGCTATAAATGCCCAAAACGCAATTTATATATATATATATATATATATATATATATATATATATATATATATATATATATATATATATATATATATATATATATATATATATATATATATATGTTTGAGAAGTTAGGCACATCAAATCAAATGATGGTTCCACATAGGGGATGCAGGTTCAAAACCCTGCCGGAAGAGACTTATATTTTTCTTTTCAAGATCTCTCGAATATTCAAGCCGGAGTAGGATAAGAAAAGATACTGTTACGCTAAAAAAGCAGAAGTTCTACTCGAATATGAGTATCCATCGAAAGTACCGTTTAAATAAAATAAATTAAAAATAACACACACACGCACGTACACATACACACACACACACACACACACACACACACACACACACACACACATATATATAGTGGCCCAGTTAAGGTACCTTAGTATATGTATACATACACACACAGACGAATAAGGTTTATATTCGCATATATCTATATCTCTGAGTTGAGGTATTATGATTACTTACATTATTTGCATTATTCGGATTGTCATCCTCATCTTCATTGCCATATTCACTACGTTTCTGCCGTTGTACGCTCCGGACTTCTTCAGGTGATTGAAATTTCAAACTGAACCCTTTATTTTGTTCGCCGGGGTTGATTGATTGTTCTAGTTCTACCTGGCATGCCTCTTCCGGAGGTCTCAGTTATTTCCATTTAGCTCAACTATCCTGAAGAAGGCCAGAGTGTACAACAGCCGAAACGTTGTGAATATGGCAATAAAGACGAGGATAACCTTCCGAATAATTTAAATGATGTAAATATTCACTTATGTTTATACAAGTACACACACTCATCTCTATCTATCTATCTATCTATCTATCTATCTATCTATCTATCTATCTGTATGTGTGTGCGTGTGTGTGTGTGTGTGTGTAAAGGAAAAAAGGCAGTAGGAAAACTGTAGTTTTAGCTGACTTTTTAAGGCAAAAAATTAAATAAATATATTGAAACAAAGTATCTATAAACAACAAACAAAATGTCGTTGTTAAAAATACTAGTCTGACTATTGTCATTTTTCCTTCACACATATCTTCTTTTTCTACAGGTTATTTCTGAGTAATTTTTGCATATATATATATATATATATATATATATATATATATATATATATCAGAACATTTGTTACAGTTCGATTAAGGACTCAAAGATGTTCACAGTTTTTATAAACTTATTGATGAGGACTTTGTCTCGATACGGTGATGTCCATTTTTTTGTCATCATTCACATTTTAAACACCAAGTGACTTAAGGAAAATGCTTCGGTATACTTTGTAATTAAAGAGTGAAGCGATTTATCTGATTTGCTATTCGACGCCAAATTCGTTTTTGATTTCATCGTCCAAACACGATTTAGCGTCTGCTGCGAACTGGGAAGCGGGACTTGTTTACCCCCTTGTGTGAGAAAGAGAAAGAGCGCATAATTGATGCAGATGACAATGGTCCTTGGAGATTCCAGCTCCAGGACAGCACCTCCCATTGCACTAAAAATAGACAAGTCTTAACTTGCATTGATGCTTACGCGGCAAAAGCTGTCAGAATTGTGAAGTTCGAAGCCCTACTAACACGTATATATGCCGGACCACACATGAATCGCGAAACTGCCGCAGTTTTACTCTCAACAGATTAATGCCAACACCTGTTCTTCTTCTTATCAAATTTGTGAATATTTTATAAATACAATAGAATCCCTGACAACCGGACTAAGAAGGCTTTCCAGATATGAGGAATTGGTTACAAAGTACGGATATGAGGGATTCCTGATATGAGGAATTGGTTACAACGTCCGGATATGAGGGATTCCGGATATGAGGAATTGGTTACAAATTCCGGATATGAGGAGTTATATTTAGATTAAAATAAAAGAACTGAAATCAGCTTTAACATTTATTTTCAATGTTTTATAGTCATGCCGTGACAATGTCCAACATCACTAACCGAGGGTTAGCCAACCGATGTATATTATGTAGATTATATACTTATATTTGTCCGAGCCATATATATTCTATTTCATCTATCCTTAGGTAAAAAAAAAATACTGATAACTTTATTTAAGAAGTGTCAGATTGGGTACAAACTAAGTACAAACAAGCATTGTTATTTACAAATAAATCTAAAATTTTATTTACACATTATTCTATATTTCTGAATAAATTATTTTATCAGTTACATTCACCAGTACATGTTAATATACGCGTTTATGTATTCTATAGATTTTATCAGTCTTCCATCCATTCATTTCGTTATTTTTTCTATTGTTTATAGCGTTAACAATACAGTAGAATCCTTGACAACCAGACTAAGAAGACCTTCCGGATATGAGGGGTTATATTTAGATTAAAATAAAAGAACTGAAATCAGTTTTAACATTTATTTTCAATGTTTTATAGTAAACAAAATAAGCTAATGGTGAGTGAAAAATAACGGAAATGATTTGAAGGAAAAAGAAGTAAATTATGTAATGTTAATGAAAATTTATTAAATTAAGTATGCCACGTATGCAAAACAAATAATGTAACGAGGATTTTTTTAATCCTTGTTGAATGATGATTTTTTCTCTTCTAATGTCATTCTCAACTTTTTCAGTATTTCCTTTTGCTTTGCTTCTTGAATTTTTTTTAAACAAAAGACACATTTTAACTCTGCCTGCGTTATTGCAATCGTCATAACTGAATGCTGGCTTTCTTTCCATAAAACTGACAGCCTTTTCAATAGCTTTTTTTTCGATTTCAGTCCAGGTTTCATCACAATTGTTTTTTACTTCCTTTTCATTATCACAGTGTGAATGCTGGAGAATAGTTTCTTTGGAAGATTTTATATCATACAATGTCGACTTTCCTTCGTTGAACTCAGCCATTAGTTACAATGAAATTTCACAAGCGTCTAGTCTGTTTAAAATTTCCACTTTTTGTGATAACTCCAAAGTTGTTCTTTTCCTCTTATTCCCATCATCTTTTGCACCAATACAAGCCATTAGGGTAAGAAATAAGCATAGGCAATTATCCATAGTAAATTTCCTTAAAAACAGAAATTTCAAATCAGTTACATATCACCCAAAATAGTTCAAATAGACACATCAAAATCATATCCGGATATGCAGGATTACGAATATGAGGCACTCCCGATATGAGGCACTACGGTTTTGAGGGATCCCGGATATGAGGGATCCCGGATATGAGGGATTCCGGATATGAGGATTCTAGTGGATTAATGTTAACCTTCTACAAGACTCGAAAGTTAATCAAGGTATAGTATTGCTCTTAAAATGGTCACGATAAATGACGTGTGTAATACGAAGCAAAGAAAAGTTTTTTTTTATATGTTTTTTTTTATGTCTGTGTAGGTTATTTAAAGCCAGAAATTTTTTTTAGATTGTAATAATTTTTGTGCTGATAATGTTTTACTGATACAAGTCCTATTAATTAACCCATGTCTAGGGGCAAGCCTTGGAGGATTCATGGCTTCCTCAAGGAGATTTTTGTGTAATTGAATATAACGAACCCAACTGGAATTGAAACTCCGCTCTCCAGTTAACAATTTATTACACCACCCGGACATCCAATCTCACAGCACCTGGTATTCCCAAGTAGTTACCCATCAAAGTAATGACCAGGCTGGATGTTGCTTAACTTCGGTAATCGTACGGGAACTGGTTTTTCAATGTGATGCGGCCGTAAACCTGAAAGTGGGTGGGGTGTTGCCGGAAGTGAAGATAATGAGAATAAAGAGGATGTATAATGATTGACTCTTGATTTGAAGAGGTTAGTATTGTATCTTTCAGGATTACACGCGGGTGTCTTTTCTACAATGGGAAAAATGGAAGAAACGAGGCTGATTCGACTCCGTGGAAGTATTATGTAGTGTCCTAGTTTTACAAGTCTGAAGGATTGGAACTAAAGAATGGCGCTCATCCAAATATTCGCGATAAAAATAGCTACAGAGGAGCGATAGAGATGTGACTTTACACCTGTGTGAAGAAGGTTGCAGAGTGGGGGATAAATATTCCGTACACACACACACAAAAAAAAAATCCAAAGACAAATATGCAATGTGATAGATCTTGATCTGGCATCTCGACCCCACTTACTTTCTCACAGACTTGATGTGACTTTTCTTTCTCTTTTCTACAAATATTTTCATGCTAACTTCTCTATCTATATTTCTGAGATGAGGTATTATGTACATTATTTACATTATTCGGACTATTGTCCTCATCTTTGTCGCCATATTTATCACAACGTTTCGGCTGTTGTACGCTCCGGCCTTCTTCAGGTGGTTGGAATGTCGAACTGAACCCTTTATTTCACTCACCGGGGTAGACATGGCACAGTGGATAAAGGCGTTGGTTAGATCCAGTGACAGGACCCAAAGAGTGTGAGTTCATTACCCGGTTAAGGCAGTGGAGAACTTTCAGAGGAAATTAACAGGAGATAACTGATAACTGGGCATCCATCAAATCATGGCACGTGGAACTAGAACAGTCTACCCCAGTAGACATTCCAACCACCTGAAGAAGGTACAACGGTACAACGGCCGAAACGTTGTAATAAATATGGCGACAAAGATGACGACAATAGTCCGAATAATGTAAATAATGCTAACTTCTCTGATGGGCTATTTTCACTGGTTCCCCGATTCCATGAATCTAAAGCGTACTACTAGGTTGGCATCTCGGTTCATGCCTTTCACTGACGAAACAGTTAAATGTAACCGCCTCTTCTACTCCAACAGCTTCTTCTCTCACACTTCCCGACAGTGAAAATCCCTTCCTCTTACTCGCTTCCCTGATAGCTATAATCTTCAAATATTCAAATTTAATATCAACCGACATCTTCTAATGCCTTGAACTTGATCCCCGTTCTTCTCTTTATCCTTTCCTCAAACACCTCCTCTTTAGTCTTGCTCTCACTCTCTGTAACCCCTTGCGTGCTAGTGGCACTCCCGTCTTGCTTGGGGTGATATGCTTAAAAAGAAGAAGAAAAAAAAACAAACTGCGAAAACGATTTTGAAGACTGGAAAGTAAGGAATATAGCTCTAGACAAAATATGGTAGCAATACTCCATTTTGGTCTAATATCTCTCTTGTTAAAGCATGACAGAAGAAGTCAAGTATTTTCTGGGGCGACAGATTTTTATTTATTTTTTTTTATTTTTCCAGCATCATTGGCAGTGGATCGACAGTATGATCCCACTTTGATGTGTGGAGTAAATTTTTAGACGAAGTAGCCGTTCAAGACATGGAGACTTAACCCTTTGATCACAGACCACCGCTTTACCGGCGGCAGAGAAAAATGACGTAATTCCCAGTCACCGGTTGAACAGTGGTAGAGAAAAATGACTTAATGCCCAGCTACCAACTGAACGATGGGTAAACACTTGTAACTATTTTTATATCTACCATGAAACATTACATAGCAATTATTTGTGAATTTTGACTCAGGAGCTCAGGCAGAAGGGTTAAAATTGTTCAGGAACACAGGGGTCAAAGGGCAAATAATGGCACCGTCACTCGTACAACTTTAATACTCGAACGTACAATCATCCATAAAGAAGGCACCTCTGATAGGTCTTTACTGACCATCAAAACAGAATGACCCATGAGTTATTCGAGTTTTATTATGTCTATTTGTTTTTATTTTATGAGGTTTTTTCAACCTTTTGTAAGATATTTAAAGCCGAAACTGATTTGGAATTTAAGAATATTTGTATTTTTTTTTTATTATTTTTTTTTACAATGAATACTTTATGAAAAACTTATTCTAAAGATACCAATGATTATTCTATATACACGTTCTACACTATTTACATTGCTCGGACTATCATCCTCATCTTTGTTGCCATATTTATCAAAACGTTTCGGCCGTTGTACGCTGCGGCCTTCTTCGGGTGCTTGGAATGTCGAACTGAACCCTTTATTTCGCCCGCTGGAATAGACTGTTCTAGTGGATAAAGGCGTTAGTAAAATCCAATGACAGGACCCAAAGTGTGTGAGTTCAATACCTGGTTAAGGAAATAACTGATAACTGACATCCATTAAATCATGGCACGTGGAACTAGAACAGTCTACCCCAGTAGACATTCCAACCACCTGAAGAAGGCCGGAGAGTACCACGGCCGAAACACTGTGATAAATATGGCGACAAAGATGAGGACAATAGTCTGAATAATGTAAATAGTGTACATAATACCTCATCTCGGAAATATAAACAGATACACGTTCTACTATTTAACCCATAGCTAGGAGTAGAGGAGATGGATTCATACATTTCCCAGCATATATTTTCTCATAAATGAATGTAATGTACATGACGAGAATTCGAACACGGTTCTCATTTCTAATTTCGTTCCGTATCCATTACACCACCCGCGCATCCTATTTATCTGAAGTAATGGCAGAGTGTAACGCGCATGCTAAATTACTAACGTGAGAATAATCAGCATTACAGTATGCTTAAACTCACACACACACACACACACACACACACACACACACACACACACACACACACAAACATACATACATACATACATATATATATATGTATATATATATATATATATATATATATATATATATATATATATATATTATATATATATATATTCTGTTTATATTATATATGCGCAGTACTTATTGGAAAGTGCTCAATATCAGTGATAGAGGCCCGTTGGAACAGTTGGTATGACGTTTGCTTGATAACTTAACTGTCCAGGTTTCAATTCTCGGTAGTGGAGGTGCACTGCTGATGAATCCCAAATATAGGATAAACCGGCCGTCCAGTGCTTTCTGCATTCTGTTGAGGTTTCTTTCAGATTCGATGAATTACTTAATTACTATCAAATCCTCCTAATAATTTATATCACATATATATATATATATACTATAAATATATATTGTTGTAATCGTACGTATGTATATATATATATTTATTTTCAGTGGCAATAAAAAGCTCTTGAACCCAAAGTATCGAGCTTTTATGAAATTTTTGATTCAGGAACTGAATGCCCTGCAGGAAATCTATGATCATATGTCTATGACGAATGCCTGCCATGAGAACAGTCCTTCATTTGTAACGGTCAAACGTTGGACTTTTGAGTGTCGCTTGGGGAGACGATCCCTTAAAGCTAAAGTACGACCAGGACGTCATATAAAAACACCATATGCAGACAAATAAATATGTCTGTCAAAAATGAAAACAAAATCAATGTATTCTTTCCTTGATGTCGTATCAACTATTTTAGGCTCAAAATACTTGAAACACCTTGAATATATATATATATATATATATATATATATATATATATATATATATATATATATATATATAATACGTTAAAAGATTCTTTTTTCTGTCGTGCGATGATAGCTAAGGAGTATAGTTAATGTGAATTATTTCAACTCGGTCGAAGTTCGATCCCAGAGTGAATCAATTACATGTCTCACCACACTGATGAGCTGTGATACAGCGAAACAGGCTTACACACACACACACACACACACACACACAATCGAATCAATCTCGAGGGAAAAAAAGGTTTTAAAAAAAGAAAGAGCTACAAACATGGAAGTCTGTCGAAAAAATCGCACAGATGCAGGTTTGAAGCCCAAAGAAAAAAACCCGACACGAGTAAACAACTTACTAACAAAAGAGCTCAATACAACCGTAGAGCAGACATAGATACACCTAGTGAGCCAGACAAACCTACCTATATATATATACATATATATATATATATATATATGCTGCACAAACAAATTAATATATCCAACAACTTCCCCCTATCTCTTGTAGCTCTCAATAAGTGTTGTCCCTTTGCTAATTCTCCCATACCCTGTCCTATCATCCATTTGCTTAAGCCCGTCAGGTATGTCACGCGTTGCTTTCCCTTGTCTCCTTTTTCCTTCTAACCGTCCTTTGAGTATTAGATTCTCCAAGCCCTGCTTTCTCATTACGTGTCCCAGAAATTTCAGCTGCCTTTTCCTGATGTTAAGTATAAGCTTTCTCCTTGATTCACAACTTTGTAAACACTCTGCTATATACAACCGCTTCTCTTAGTTGTGAAAAATGGTTTTGTGCAAGTGAAGCCTGTTGGAATTGGTTAAGACGCCACTTCTTCAAACGTTGTGAATTGGCACTGTAGAATCACAAAGAAGGAACTGTACCGAGACCACATTACATTTTCAACAGCAGCAACAACCAGAAGGTGATATTACATGGAACTCGAAGAGAAACTAATGATAAAAACATTGCATTCCACACGACTTCAAACAAAAGGTGAGGAAGGAAACTCCCATCAATATAGAAAAAAATAAGAACAGCTACTGGACTTGAGAAACCTATTTTCCTGTCAAGAGATTTCGTTTGCTTAGGTTTACGGCATATCAACCTCAATGGGTTATTTAATGCTGTCAAGATTTTTATTTTCCAAAAATTTATTGCTGATAATGTTTTTGTTTTTTCTTCAAAAATGTATTGCTGGTAATAATCTTTTGCAGAAAGTATTGCTGGTATTAAAACCTATTTTTATACTTTCATAGTGTTTTAATCCCTTTTGGCGGGTAATCATTTACCCATAGATGGGACCCCAACAAGTGCTACCACCCCGGACCAGGGTGGACCTGGGAACAACAGCAATTAAGAGGTGGTTCTAAGCACCTCAGAAGCTCCTGATCAGAGGCCTTGCTGCCGGATGTAGTTTATCGTCTTACCCAGGACACGGATGTAGTTTATCGTCTTACCCAGGACGGCCTGTCAAGAGAAAGATTTTATAAACTTCAACCGACAGTAGAACTGTCTGCTCGGTCGCTGAATACCAAATGCTCCCTAATCGGATCCTGATATTTAAAAATACATACTGAATAATGTTTTACATCGCGTAACCTTCCCATGGATCATTACCCAGGAATAAGAGAACGATCCTTTCTAGAGGAAGAAAGTTGTCGGAAAGTTATCAGTTTTACCGATCTTTGTAGAAGCCGACAAATATGAACAAAGACATAGAGCCGTGGAGAGATGATAAATGAAATAATATAAACGACCGAGAGAAAAATATCGGCCTTTGATTTAATAGCTTTGTTTTCAAAAGTAAATAATATTTGAAGCGCGACAAAAATGAAAATCAAATTTGATCGTTATTTAATGATCTTGCAATTTGGCGGCAAATAAATTCATTTTTAGAAATAATCATCAAAAGGCGGGAAATTCTTCTTTTTTTTTTAACTTTTCTGATCTATCAATTATATCGAGAACAACAGTACGAGTTCAAGAATCTTAATTATTTTCTTATCTATCTATCTTTCTAAGTCTTCATCTACCTATCTACCAAAATCGTCATCTATATATCCATTCCAGTATCTATCTATCTATCTATCTATCTATCTATCTATCTATCTATCTATCTATCTAAGACTTCATGTATCTATCTATCCTGATCGTCATCTATCTATACATACCAGTCTTCATTTATCTATCTATCTATCTATCTATCTATCTATCTATCTATCTATCTAAGCCTGTTAATATCTATCTATCTATCTATCTATCTATCTAAGCCTGTTAATATCTATCTATCTATCTATCTATCTATCTATCTATCTATCTATCTATCTATCTAAGCCTGTTAATATCTATCTATCTATCTATCTATCTATCTATCTATCTATCTATGTAAGACTTCATGTATCTATCTACCATGATTGTCATCTATCTATCCATACCAGTCTTCATCTATCTATCTATCTATCTATCTATCTATCTATCTATCTATCTATCTATCTATCTAAGCCTGTTAATATCTATCTATCTATATATCTATCTATCTATCTATCTATCTATCTATCTTACTGAGTTTATGCCCATGCCCGACATTGCAAGTATCCAGGTTGTGTATATATATATATATAGAGAGAGAGAGAGAAGGGAGAAAGAGTAGGAAAGAGAGAGATGAACGGAATGGTAAAGATTACGGACATATGACGTTGAAACACTGGTACGATCACCGAAGTTAAGCAACTTCGAGTCTGGTCAATGCTTCGATGTGTGACCCCTTGAGCATACAAGATACTGTAAGCTTAGATATGTGGGTAGTGAAATGGATAATGTTTCGTAATTGAAATAGGACAGCCAATTTCTAATCCCAGTCGAGTTGGTTTTTATTGACTTACACGCAAATACACTTCTCACCCTACCCCAGTTGGACATGTATCAATAAAACTATTATTATTATCCCCCAAATTATTATATCCCCAAATCCTTACAATCTGAAAAATATTCTCTTGGTTTAAGCAATCTACAAAGGTTGACAAGCCGTAAAAAACGAATCAAATATATATATATATATATATATATATATATATATATATATATATGTATTTGTGGGTGTGTCTGATTGAATAAATTACAGACATTATGTTTGCTAATTTTTAACAAAATCCTTTCAAACTCACGAATAACCTTCCGAGTATTGATGTTAAAGGATGAAATATATGTGCTTTTATTGTTTAAATCTCTTTTATTCTCATTTCCCAAGTACTTTCGATCTTCTTCCAAGATCATCTTCAGGGATGCAAATAATACTAAACTATACATTGTTTATACAAAGCTGTGCGTTGCTATCTATTACCGTAATTTTTTTATGCTGAGCGTTCATTAGAACGTGAAAAAAAGGAATTTTTTTTTCTCTAAAATATAAGGTCATGGTCACGCACGTATTAAAACCGTATGATATGTCTCATTAAATAATTTAGACTTGTTAAATGTTTTGCCAAAGAATTGTTCTTTAAACATGAATATTTTCAGAATGTACTTTTTTACACTAAAACAAAAGGAACATTTTAAAATTGCTATTGCTTATAATTTTAATGGTTACCCCGCTTGAGATCAAATTGGGTTGATATGTGACCCGTGAATTCAAATGAGTCTATGTATTCCGAGTTTCGAACATTTTACCGAGTCGGTAAGTTTCGGTTTTGGTCCCATACCGGTTTTGCTTTTTTTAATATATATATATATATATATATATATATATATATATATATATATATATATATACACGCTCTATCTTGATATTGAGCACTTTATCCCATAAATATAGCACATATTAAAAATATATATATATATATATATATATATATATATATATTAAAATTAATTGATTTAAAATATGTCTTTTTCGAATTTAATTTTGTAATTAAATTAAATTTTGTCGAATTTAATTTTGTAATTAAATTAAAGACATTAGTTCCATCGGATTATGTATCTTACTGTTCTTTTCTTTTTTTTATATATATATATATATATATATATATATATATATATATATATATATATATATATATATATATATATATATATATAATTTATTTTATTTATTTTACTTATTTTTTTCAGTTTTCCGTTTTTTAAGTAACGTAGTAAAAATTTGTTTTCGTGTTTGAATTTTGAGGGAGTTCTTATTGTTTACTTAGTAGAATTCTTTCTCTCTCTCTCTCTATATATATATATATATATATATATGTGTGTGTGTGTGTATGTGTGTGTGCGTATGTGTGTGTGTGTAGAGAGAGATAAAGTATGGAGTCATAAGAGTTAGAGTTAAAAAGAGAGCGAGGCAATATTCCTTTTTAATTTATCTTAATTAAATATTTTAATATTATATTTCCTAAATAACGCACAAAAGAACGCACGTCGGGATTAAATGAATAAAAGTCTTACCTGAAGTCCTCTCATCTGTCAGGTTTGAAGATAGTTCTGGCCTGTCTTCATAATCAGGTAAAAATTGGAGATTTTTAATTTTTCAATTTTAAAATGAGTTTGTATTTTCTCTGTTAGAACGTTACAAATGTGTGACACCCAAAACGCCATTGAAGCAAATCACCGCTCGGCTAATCAACTACTTCCGGCAGCAAGGCCTCGGATCTCAGGTCCTCCCTGATCTGGGATGGTAGTACCTGTTCGGGTCTCAGCTATGGGCAAATAGTAAATCCCCAAACAAAAACAAAACACTATGAACGTATAGAAATACTTCTTTAAAGTTAATTTTTTTTAAGCATTTCACCCCAAGCAAGGCGGGAAGCCACTAGCACGCAAGGGGTTACAGAGAGTTGAAGCGAGAACAAAGAGGAGTGATAGAGGAAAGGATGAAGAGAAGGATAGGGGATAGATCAGGGCATCTGGAGATGTCGATTGACATTACATTTGAATAGTTGGAGATTATAGCTATCAGAGAAACAAGAAATGGGAAGGGAGTTCCACAGTTGAGAGGTGGGAGACATGAAGCTATTGGTTATATTTAACAGTTTCCACAGTGAAAGGGTGAGAGCGAGATGCCAGCTCAGTTGAACGCTTAAATTCATGAAGTCTGGGAACCAGCAACAACTCATCGGGCAATTACCGTGAAAGTATTTGTAAAAAATACAGAGGAGGCGACGGCACGTCTTTGAAATTACGACTGCAGACGAGACTTAATCAGACCAATTACATTGCATATCCGTTTCTGGATCAAGGACCTTGAGACAAACAGAAGGGATCTTAGACCATATATACCATTGTAAAATTCCATGCAAGGGCGAAAGGTTGATTTGTAGATTTGGACGATCAACTCCGACGAGAAAAATACCAGTAATATATTTTATATAGTAAAACTAGCAAAAATAACGATTTATAGTAAAATTTTAAAAAATATATTTTTATTACCAACAACACATTTATTGCAAAAATGACCAACAATACATTTTATAGCAAAATGCCAACAACACATTTTATAGCAAAATGGCCAACAATACATTTTATAGCAAAATGGCCAACAACACATTTTATAGCAAAATGGCCAACAATACATTTTATTGCAAAATGACCAAAAACACATTTTATAGCAAAATGGCCAATAATACTTTTCATAGCAAAATGGCCAACAGCACATTTTATAGCAAAATGGCCAACAATACATTTTATAGCAAAATGGCCAACAACACATTTTATAGCAAAATGGCCAACAACACATTTTATAGCAAAATGGCTAACAATACATTTTATTGCAAAATGACCAAAAACACATTTTATAGCAAAATGGCCAATAATACTTTTTATAGCAAAATGACCAACAACACATTTTTTAGCAAAATGGTCAACAACACATTTTATAGCAAAATGGCCAACAACACATTTTATAGCAAAATGGTCAACAACACATTTTATAGCAAAATGGCCAACAATACATTTTATAGCAAAATGACCAACAATAGATAGATGGAATTGGAACTCAACTCTTCGATTTCCAATTCTGAA